GAGTCGGTAGATACAATTAATTCATACTATATCCCAACAAAAGCCTCGGTCACTTTAATATCACTTAATGTTAATGCTGAATCATAGGAAATGGTTATGGTTGTAAGTTAACTACCTGCAGATTAACAATGGGAAATCCTCCACATTGATAATCAGTTCTGCCATCTTTAATCATGCCTTATGTGTATTGGTGTAGAAAGCTAGTAAAAACACCAGTACAACGTCCTTTCGGCTACAACAGATGGGAAGGGATGGACTGGGTCTCCTTTTGGCTCCACGGTGCAATTACCCGCGTTTATTCCCAATAGTATTCACACAGTTATTGGAGTAAGGATTTGGAGAAGTAGGACTTACAGTTCAATCAATGGTGAGCAAAAAGAAAAATAACAGCAGGACGCAGCCTTAAGCTGCAAGCTGAACAGAAGTAATGAAAACTGCACTTTGAATAGCTTTTCAGCCCGCAAACTATGATTCAAGCTTTGAAGAGGCATAAAGACTTGCAAAATATCTCATAAGGGAGATGTAATAACCTTCTTTTCACAATATAAGACAGATAAAATCGTGGCTCCGGGTGGTGATGCCTGTTTGTGGATGCTGAACAAATGCGCAAAGCTACTAGCGGGTACCGTGACGTCTGCTGATACCTTCAACTCGCATGCTGCAGGCTATTTAAAAGCTGCGCTGCTGCATTGAACACCGGGTATGCACCAATCACCCAGTGTGGTATTTTGCCCTGCTTCATTCCCAACAAGTCATGCCAGTTTACAAAGACAATCATTTTTGGGCTACCTCGCAGAGCCATGGTGATAGATGCAACAGCTTTCACTTGGACACCGAGATCACAAAAAACATCAAGCCTCAATAAATCCAACACAGCCTAAAAAGCATTTTAATTATGACACATTTTACTTGACGCTCATAAAACAAAACAAGATATAGCTTCTGTGCTCAAAATTACGGAATAATCCAAGCAAAATACATCATAACACAATGTCTGGAGGAAAGGGACACTTAGTAAACAGTAAAACAGAACTCAATCAACGGCATATTTAAAATTCTAAATACAAAGCCATGCTAAGTTGGAGCTAGAATTACCTCGGAGTTATTTATGGGTTTTTATGTCCATTCGTCAAATGTTCGTTAACTGAAAGTGCTGTATCAAATGATTTGCAATTAAATACTTGAACTTTACAAGAATTGAGTTATTTCCTTGTACCATAACCTAGTTACTTGAGGCAGATTAAGAGGATCGCAAATGAAAAAGCTCAATAAATGCAAATTCTCACGATGATTTCCTTAACAATTGAGTTGGATATGTTACGCATTTGACGAGTGTTAGCGGCGTGGGTCTGCTTCAGTCCATGCAGATCCAAGCGGAGGTCTTTTAACCCCTTGCAGGCATTTAGGAGGCGCTGGCAATTTGACTGATGCGGATAGGGAGGTGAGGGAGGGCGGGGGCATCTTTCATAACCACTGGAACAGTGGGCAAAGAGGCATTTGCTCTCCACCGCGGCTGAATCATTGTCTTTTACTATTATGAGCAGAGAAAACAACAAAATAATGGTGTAGTGGACCAAACTTGCTCAGTGCTCTTTAGAAATAACATCACAATCGAGGTTTCAAGATCTATTTTTAGAAAATTTGCAAAGGATGAAGAAGGCTATCACGAATGGCAAAATATCAAACATAGAGTGTGAGAGATGATAAATACTTTGAACCAACCATCAGTACTTGAGAGAAACAAAAAGCGCAATTTCATTCTTTCAAACCTTGACTTCCAGCTTTCGTTTACGTTGCATAAAGAACAGTCAGTGCAACACAAGTGATTATTGCACAGATTTGAGCAGCAAAGATAAATAAAATTAGTTTTATTGAAAAATACCAGAGAATCAGAAGTGGAGAAATAAAGATTGTAAGATTTGAGTGAAAAGCAACAGTACACTGGCTCCACCACCACTGAAATCTTTTGCAAAATTGTTTGCAAACAAGTTGATAAGAATTATAAAGATTGCATAAAACTAGACTGGTCACTAGACTGGCCGAGAAATGGCAGCTCTCTGGGCACATTAAATAGGCCATAAGAAACAAGACCCAATTCCATTCTTCCAACGATCTTGTCATCTGTGGGGTATTTTAAAGACTAAATTGCCTTTCATGTACTAGCTAATCCTGAGGTGTAGTGTTCGGGTGGAGAACGACCTGGAATCCCAACGAGCTTGCTGGAATCGCCCTCCAACCCACCCTGCGTCTGCACTGCTCGAATCCAGGCTGTCAGTTGGGTCAACTGGTTCTCCATGTAGGCTATGCGGTGTCTAGGTGTAAAGATTACACTCATTTTGAGTTAGAATAATAAATCCAAGAAAAAAAAGTTGGCACAAGGCTTAAATATGTATATTTTACTTTAGTAACGTTACTTATAGAGAGCTACCGGTTCACATGCCTTTTTATTATCACTTAGCACATAATGGTAAAAATAGGAATCACTAATGCAGGCCATGAAGCTAAACCTTGCCATAAATTTAGTCAATATTATCGGTAGGAGCTAATATGCTAATCACTTTGAGCTTCTACAGCTAATTAAGCTAAAGTAGGGGAAGGAGGCAAGGCATCAGGAGTTCGCGGCGCAATAAGGGATGGGGAAACATACTGTGCCTCTTCGAGTGTTTGGGGCGGTTTAGTGGGTCGCCTTCTTTGCGCATTGAGAACTGAGGCCAGAAGGACGTCGGGAGGGATCATCCCTTTTCTAATGGTGGAAAAAGTGTTTGTCTGACAACTTCCGCCTGAGGAATCCGATTCCTGGAAGGTTTCGCTGCTCTCTCCACTAGACGAAGTCAAAAGATCAGTTTGGGGTGTTGAATTGGCCCACCCCACACATGAAAGTCCAGCTCTAGAGGTGTTTTTCAGCCATCTGAGGGAATCACCATCACCTGGTCGATCAACTTGGCTTGTACTTTCCATTTGTGATTGTCGAAGGACTGTGAAATAGTTATATTTATTTTATCGAATGGGATAAAAACGGAAAGGGATAACTGTGGGTTAAAGTACAAACCCACCAATGTCCTCGAGTTCTGTCATGAAGTATTTTTAAACTGTGATTTACCACTTGCATTAGCGCTATGGGTAACAACAAAGCATTTAAATTCCGAAAACAGTAAACTGCAAATTTATTCGCCACTCTAACAGCATGCCCAATGTTCTCTTTATAAATTTCACAGCCAAAATAAAATAGGAAAAGTATTTTGTGAAAAGGGAGTCCACTTGGTTTCCTGATAAAGCACTTCCGAAAGTCGTAGCCAAAGAAAACCTATTTACGCTTGGCGTTTGACTTTATTAGCATGATGGATTAGAGACGAAATATGGAGAAAAATGGGGGAAGAAGAGGCATGATTAATAGTCACAACAAAATAACTCTCTGAGAAAACAGCTTCCTCTTGATAACAACACATAATGGGTTGACCAACTTTTACACTCAATCTCTCCAAGATACTCCGGGATTAATCTAAGCTTAAGACTAAAACAGACATTTTCTTAATCGCTAATATCATAACTAACTGTTTTTTACAAAAAAGGCAAAAATAAACGCGAATTCTGCGGAGTGCGTGCATTCAAGCTGCGTCAACGCAACACCACCTTCCTGCTCCGAGTTGCCTCAGCGACGTCCAAGTCTCTCGTTTTCAACTAAGAAACGTAAATGATCCATTTCTGAAAAATTTTTACTTACTATTATTATCAGTGCTCAGACAAAAAGAACTAAAATTTCTAAATTCTGTAGCATTAGGCGTTGGTCAATGATAAATTGTGTTCTTCAGATTGAGTAAGGGCGCAATCGAAATGCATGTTTTTATGCCACGCTCAGACCTTGATGATTTCTTTTCAAAAGGCCATTTAGCAAGCTTCGAGTTCATGCCCTGAGACAATTAGTGATCTGTCCAAGCTTTTCACGCAAAATTTCCACCCCCCAGTTATCGCGTAGAATCGGTTAATGCCCAAAGAAAAATCGACAAAGCGCCCGAAGGAATTCTTTGAGAGGGATTCCCAAATGTCGCAACAAGACGTTGGTGAAAGTGTGGCACGGATAAATAGACCAAATTTTAAGGTAAAAGAAGTTTAGTTCAGTACCTGGGTAGGAGTTAACCATTGTAAAATCAGAAGAGATGTGGAAAGTGTTTAAGGAGCTCACCATGGTGTAATTCAGGTGGGCAAGTGCAAACCAACTCCACCTTCTGCCCTGACTTTTTTTTCACAAGGTGAGTGTGAGCTTCCAAGTTCATCCCAAGGGGTTGCCGTTTAGTGTGAGAGAAGTCGGGAGCTGTCTGGATAAGACGAAGGGTGGTTTGGGAAGTCTGGGCCTGGGGCTGGTTAAGCAATGGGACCAGATGGAACTGACCCGACTGGTTTGGCAGGGCCGTAGTAGCGACGGTATGGCCGTCAGGGTAGTGCAGAATGAGGTGGCGCTCGCCGTTTGAGCCCACCTGCATCGTGGCCGGAATGAGGGTAGGATGGATTGGCAGCCGCGTAGGTGCCCCACCCGATGGTATCTGCGATTGCATGATGTCCGGCGATGAGGGCGAATTCGACTTTGATTCTTCACCCTTCTCTTTCTCCACCTTCGTTTTCCCCTCTACCTTTTCCTGAAATTGCATCAGCGATATAGTACTGGAGTGAATATAAGGAGCATGGTTGTTGATTGAGTTCCTCAACCGATTATCCAGCTGTTTCGATTGAGCTATTTTGACTTACAAACACTTTTAAAAGTTTATCTGGTGTTTACAAGGGTAGATCCCATAAGGAATTAATCTTAAATACCCAACCCAATCCAATACTTATCACTTGCCCGGTTTTTATAAAGATGCACGATAGCTAAACATACGTGGAGCCAATTCTAGCATAATTTTATTCTAAAACACAGTTTAAGAACAAAGTTCATAGTTCGAAACCATCACTAAAATTGTTCTGAACGCGAAGGTCTTGATGCCCGGCTGTAATGAACGACATGATTAACCTTAAATACTCTACACTGCTAATGGAATCGCACAGCCAATTTAGAAGGAAGAAGTCGACAGCCGAATAATTTGACCAGGAGATAAAATGATTAGTTCACTGTGAACTATTGAGTAATACTAGCTCACTGACAACTACCGGTAATACTTTTTATAACATTCAAGCTTTTTTGACCATGAAGAAATTTATAAATCGGCTCTTTGAAGAAGGAAGCGGATACACATATACCTGTCTCGTACATATACTACACCTAAGACGGGTGGTCGCTAAGCTGAAATTCCATTTGTTAAGTGTCACAGGATTAAGCAGAATGCACGTCTCCAAGTGATTTCCACAAAAGTTGCTCGATTTATTTAAAATAACCGTGAACGAATTGTACTAAAGTGACCACTTATCTCACAAAACACTCTTACATTTTTCGGATAATATTAAAAGACGAGTAAAATCCTTGCCCGTTGGCTAAAATTAACGAATCAGTGAGTTAATAATGGATATGAGCGCAACGGTTTTTTTGCTCTTACATTTACCTATCAGGTACCAGTAAGGTCTCTTTTCGGCTTCGCTATCTGTTATATTCTGAGAAAAGTAGTAGCTGAAAAGGGAAACCAGCAATTTAGGTAAAGGCAAATAACTGCTGAAAAAAAGGGTGGCAACTTATTCCAAATTAGAACAATTAAAATTGCCCATTTATGGTGAAATGAGTAAAGTTCTTGAAGCTGAAAACACCCATTTAACAAATGTTTAGAAAAACTGAAAAATTACTTGTTTTTCGATTGCTCCAACTATCGAGTTGCTATATTTGCGCCCCAGGAGGGGAGCGGGACGAACGTCGGACGTTTCGTTGCCCTGATATATGACAGAGCACCTTTGCTGTGACAAAATACATGCTTCGCCACTTCCGCGTCGTGGATTACTTTCTGCCTTCGTACTGCATAGCAATTTTAACAGGGAACCGTTGGAAAATATTCTAAAACGAAAAGTTAAAGTTGTGAGACACAAAATATCCAGTAATAATAATTGAACAAAGGGAGACAATGAATCTTCCATTTGGCATAGCTTCTCAAGTAAAGTTAAGTATTGTGGGAGAAACCAAAATGTTTGTTAATGATTAAAAAATGATAAACGCACAACTTCATCTGATAAAGGTGAGGAAAAGGCGAAAATCGCATTCAGCAAGGCGTCAGGTAAACACCAACATTTACAAACTTGTTATTGCATTCACTTTTACCAGGTTAAATCACAATTCCGCGCGTTGGAAGTTTCATTTGGTATTAGTTGTACATTATACTTAAGCCCAAAAACAAGGTCTGTTTTATTGTTCACAAGGAGGTTGAGGAGATGGGTTATTTTTGCTGGTGATTGGGGAATTTTACTTGGACCAAATGTTAAGATTAACATCAATATGTCTTTAATGAAAGAAAACACAATATTATCACACACAGAAGTTGTGAAATAAAATATCTGACAATAGGAATGGTGGCAATTCTGCCATGAATAAAATGGGTATTCACCCTGCTCAAATTTATAAAAAAAGAAACCCACTCGTTTGGATGAATTGGTCGAAACGACTTAAGGCGTTCGTCCAAAACTTGGAAAGCACTCGTAATGTCGACAGGAAGTGGCTCTTTGGGAAGGAGAATGGCAAATAACTTTTTGAGAAATTCTGACTCGTTTGACTGACCCTCCTTGAATACTCGATTCACTCGAAATAGCTGGTGCTGGTGCCACACGTGAATATCGTGAACTAAAGCAAAAAAAATTTAAGGCAACCATCAGCAACAGAGGCTTATATAATCCTCAAAAATTGCAGCTGGATTAGTCAAGTCAATTCCTCTAGGAGTAGATTAAATTTGGTCAATAGCTGCGAAAAATGTGCGAAAACTGAGTGTGAAGACAAAATCACTTTCTAACAGACGTAAAGTTGTATGAATTAACTGCATGCGATGCTCAATCCCAGTGGCAGTACTAACTCGAACAAGTAAAATTATCGTATTTCTGCCTTGATTCACTAAATTGCTTTGCTGCTGTGTATAAGCCTTTTGTGCTTTTGTTGAAGTGAATGCGTTAGTGTTATTGGAAGGCAGCGGACACGGCCTTCAGCACTTCACGAACTGATCTGTTGTGGTATCACTGAGCGCAAAAACGAACATCGGCTGCGACTTGTGGATGCCCAAAACCAGGGACGACTTAACCTACTAGAAAAATTACTTGTTTAAGGGAATCACGTAGTAATAAGGATGTTTTGTAACACTGGGGAATCTATCACAATTCTTGCGAAAAATGCCCGCAAACATTTCTTTCTAATTCACCACAAAATGGTTAATGGTTTAGGTGACGTAATCTAGCTGAGGATGTTCTGTACAGCAAAAAGTTCCCCGGATTTTTTGACATTATTCATTCCATATGCGATTTATCATTTTGACAGTTTACTTGGACGCTTATATCACACATACGGCTTCATGCATAAGGTGTAGGAACGACACAGTATGGCCAACGAAATTCGTTTAAGAAGTTAGGATAGAGAAGTTAACCTCTTGTAAAACGAATAGACAGAAACTACATTTAATTATTGAAAAGTAATGGGCAGGAAGATGCTTGACTGTGGATGTACTTAAACATTCAGCTTTAATCGGAAATCAAGAGAATTATCATTGGCATCCATTTCGGCACTTCTCAGTTTATTTAAAACAGGAAACAGACATGAAAAAGCAATCGCATCTACAATGCAAATGGATGGCCAGCTAGTGTGAGAGGAATTACAAGCATTATCAATAAATCCGAAGTAGACGCGAAGCCTCCAGGATGCCCTCTAATAGTACCAGGCTGACAGGGGAAGAACTTATAATTGAGATAGGGAGATACGTTACTACTGTGCCTAAGAATAGTTTAAATCACCCTTGAATAAGATTATTTACTATTTATTTAGACAAAGGCAAACAAAGCAAAGTGGAAAGTAGACGGAATTAGTAATTTGCCATTATTTAATTTGTGGAAGAGTAAAAGAATAGGAAAAGAGTAACTGTAATTGTTAAAAGAAGCATTTAAATAAAAGGAACCAAGTCTTCCCAACGAATTTCTGGTAAATCTTAACACAAAAGCTGTGTTGTAGCAATTTTAATGAATATAAAAAGCATACCTCAAAAATGCAAACTCAGCTTCCCAATCTGCTTTCGTAGTATAGAATAGTTTAAACTCGTATGATTAGAAAAGGTGCTTCAGACCCGATGACTGCTTTTATTGCCGTAACATCGACCGCGCTGCTCCAACTTATACCACTACCGCTGCAACATTCCGTAAAAATTAACGCATTCTTTTTCTTTTACTGTTTCTTTGGCCTTGGTGCTTGCGTGTGCGCACGTTGGCAGGCATTTGTCCAGTCCACCACCCAATCAATGGCCGCGCGCGCCAATTGGTCGAGGCCCGTTGTCGTGGCCTTGCGTGCCTCGCGCCGCTGGGGTGTAGGACAGCGCTAGCGCTTCTCGCATAAATCCTTCCAACTCACCGCCGTACATCTATGGCAGCCGCGGAAAATGCCCTGGAAACGGTGACTAGGTCGCGGCAACTGTGGCATGGAGTGACACTAACACTGCTTTTTATCCACCGCCAGCACATTGTATTGTAACCCTCTTCATGTCGGATAATTCCGACGTTGAAATACACCTCTACTGGGGACTATTTCTCCATGCAAAAACTGTTATTACTGTTCAAGTAAGAGAGTCATCACTAGAACGGAGAACCTTGCGTCCGATTACAACCATAAGATAGTCGAAAATTCTGCGCCCCGACTAAACGGAAGCATTCCTGGGCAATATTTCATGATGCAGTTGGAATCGGAGGTCGTCACCCAACTTTGCCATCAGCAAGTTGGTAAAAATAAACACTCTAACAGACAAGGCTGTTTTTAAAATAATGATAGGATTCCTTTTTATTTTAGAAAGCACATTATCATAGCTGATTGACAATGAATCCACGCATGTATTTTGTAGGTGAACAGTATCTATTTCAACGGTAGAATAAGACTCCCATTTCTCTCACAAAATGAAAAAAGTCTGCTTCTATTGGCACAATTTATTCGCCCCTTACCAAAGTAAGTTGTAGAGACTGTATTTGGCGCGATAAATTGAGTTAGCAGGTGAATTTTCTCCCTCTGATAAAACTTGCGATAACCTTCCAAATCGTGAAGGATGTGCAAATTTCAAATACTAGCATTTTTAAAACACCCTAATTAAAGTTTTAGAAGTGTATTACAGCTGCACACTCAATTAACCAATTTAGCGTGTTTCGTTAGCACACAGTAATGAAGGTTTTCTGCAAAAAAATGCCACCCTTCAGCCTCAGCCAGCTTTCCTTTAAAAACAACCTTGTGCTAATATTCAAAGTCGACTAGCCAAAATGCGTAATAGGTGCAGCCATATTGGGGGGTGAAGCGAGGGAGGTGATATTTTACACATGGAGAGTTCACCTCAAAGCACCGCTTTCACTATTCAGACCTTGCACGGCGTCCTATTATAATCAGTGCTACTTTTATTTGTTTGGAAGGTTAATTTACTGCCTAGAACTTAGAAATTACCTGGCTGTGTGACGAAAAGGACAGGGTGCATGGTTACCACTCAAGACTAGCATGTTCTTGCATCTCAACAAAAATTATTTTTAAAGCTACTTATAAATATAACAGTACAGTCTCTTATAAATACCTTGAGTTTGTGTAGAAAGTCCGGCAATATTTATTTCTCGAAGGAAAGCCTGTTCTGCCGCCGAAGGGACACAGATGGAGCGGCTTTCGCGTAAAGGCCGTCGGAACTTTGGCACCCCGACGTCGAAGTCGGTAAGACTGCTCCTTCTCATGGAGCGCGATAGCGCCGTGTCATCCATAAAGAGGCTGCGCAACGTGCCGTTGGCTGGAGCCGCCTCGACGGGCTTTAGGGTAGTGTTGTTCCTCTGCTTCGAAAGCTTCCAAAATGGCTTCTTCTTCACCATCTTAGCATCCGTATTGGCTGAATATAAAATCGGAGGAAAGTGTTTTGCCTTTAATCCATACATTTGAGTGCGCCCATACCTTTTTGTAAGGTAGGAGCAAAATAAAAGCAGGTATTTGGAAATCGGTAGTGGATTTTTTGACGCAATTGTGAACAGAACCAAGATTAAATCCTTGACAGAATTGCCTCTGTTCAAAAGGAAATCATTTATTAACGTTTGAGGCATTAAAAAAACGTTCCATTTAAATACGAAAATGCGTTAAAATAAAAAATTTATTTTAGAAGTTGGAATTCATGCAGTTTGTACACCACGCCTCCGAACTTCCAGAAACAGATGTGCTCAGGATGGAAGGCAACGACACCTTTTGCGCAGATTCTTGAAAGAAACGAATCATCATCCTCGTGAGAGCCAACATCCCATTTGTATTCACTCATGAGTGCCGAACGGGTTTATTTGAAATATGACTGATGCATTGAGAAACCACCACACTTATCTTTTATTTCGGTCAGAGTTGACTGCAGGGTTACGTCCATATGTGCTTACGTGGGATGTTGCCCTGTGCATCTGTTAGTACTAATTCCCTTTTGATTTGAGGCAAGTCTTGGTTTTCAAATGTAGTACCGATTAGCAGGGGTTAAACATTGGGGCTGCCAAGGAAGCAATTCAAATCACAATTTTCTCCATGATAAGTAAGCTTTGAGATAGACGTTAGTGAACGCGGATATTGAAGAAATGGAGGCTGTATTTAGGGCGCAACTGCAGGTAGAATTCTCCATACAATTGTTCGGTCTTTTTATAACTTCATGAATGTGCTGGCGTAACGTGAATTACCTGTATATCCAGCTTGATCAAACAACAAAATAAATAATTTGTCTCTTGATTGTGTGAATTCTAAATAATGATCATCGTATTTTTTATTTGGGATGTGATATTCCCTCTTCTGATAGCCCAATGCAGATTGGATCTATAATAAAGATCCATGAGAAAATTATGAATGATTTATGTTGTCAATTAAATGCATGAGAAAGGTTTTAATTCCAAATCCACAGGCAAAAATACACAATACTAAGCTATTCAACGCATGATTTACTTCTCTATCCAGCAGGACCTGTTGTATTTTTTAAGTGAACCGTTGATGACGCAGCAAGCTGGAAAGTGGGAAGAGGCGTTGTAATAGCGATATTTTCCCTACTTTATTGGTTCAAGTGGCAAGGTTGGCACAGACTGGACCAGTAGTATGATTGGCGAGAGATGCACGTCCCTCCATTAAAAATATTTCACTTTTGAAGCCCCTTAAAACCTTTACAACACTTCAAACAGAATCATGAAATTCGGATCTCAAATGACCTATTTAAAAGTTGGGATGTGATGCTGCGATTTCTTCTTTTATTTTGAAACATTACTTAACACTGATGTTGGCAGACCTACTTGTTGAATTAATTTCTTACCCAAACAGGTACGGCAAAAACTTCAAAGGCTCGAGCAAAGCTGGCCGTTTTTTGAATATTTTTTAAAATTCTAGTTATGAAAGACTTTAAAGTTATTTTACATTGTGTGTAGAATATTTACAGGAAATTCGCCCTCTATTAACGTCACTTGGACTAGTCAATGAAGCTTTTTACCTTTTACTCCATCTCTTATTACTTTAAAAATCAAGTGAAAAATCGAAACATTCAACCAAAACACATCGCTGAATTTTGGATTCCCAAAGGACAGCCTGCTAGTAGATGGCCTGCCTCCTTTTTTGACTGCAGCCTTGGGGGACTCTTCGCATTTTCCATTGTGTGTGTGGAGAATTCATCATTTAACGGCCGATCGAATAAAAGTTTACTCAGACGATGCTCGCGAAATTCCTTTGAATAACAGATGGCTAGGACCGAGTGAAGGGGTAACAGCTGACACCGTTTGGAGACGCTTATCGAGGTGCGAAAGCAACCCACTTAACCGTGTCACCGCATGTAATCGCAAAAAAAGTATTATTAGAGAAAAGTCCCAGAGGAATTTTCCAATTAATGCTATGCTAAAATGTTGAGAGTAATGATGAAAAATATATGATAACCTAAAGCTACTTGTCCTCAAACCTCCTCAGTAAATTATTTCAATCATCGTGTGCCTGTGACCTCCTAGCACTTTAATTATCAGCATGCAAGATAACTGTACATCTGCAGTAGACATTTTGTTGCAACTTTAGGAGTAGGGAAAGAAATAGCTCCTCCGAGATGTAATTCATAATTAGCGTTGCTCAAAAGTTTAGCCCATTTGTTTTGTAAGCCCGTAATGGCAAATTTCTTGATACATTTTATTGTGAAGGTCTCGAAATCAAAACCGCATTTTGAGCCTACAAGTCAGGACATTTGTAGTGAGCCTGAGCGATTGCACTATAATGGGGTTACTAAGACAAAAGGTACAATTTTGTTGATTCTGGGATCTGAGCCTGTTGCGGGGGCAGGTGGAGTTATAGTCCATTCACCCAAGGGAAAAGCTATGTGCGACCTCTTTCATACTAGAACTCTTAATGTAAAAAAAAGCAAACCCACAATTATGCTTTAACCTCCTTAGTCTAATAACTTTTCGGACTAAAAGTGCAAGATTTTCTCCAACGTTGGATTGCCCAATTCTTATAAAGTGCGGCGAATAGAGTAGGCATTCTGTTGGTTCAGTGGCTGTGCCCTGTGAGGCCAAATTCAGCAAATCCTTTAAAGAATAATTAAAACCTTTTCTTCCAATAGCCATACTAATCCAGATCAAACATTTGCGGGCGAACTCAACAGGACACGCACAGCATTGATGGTGGATAAAAGTTATTGAAGGAAATCTGATTACCTTTGAGAATGCCGGTTAGCCATAACAGTAGGCAAAATCAGTCCGGCCTCTTAAACATCGCAGAAAAAACCAAGATCATACTTTTTCAAAAAAATATGATATTAAACTGCAGGATCAAGTTTTCATGCCCGACAACATAAAAAGAGACATGCTTTTGCATCTATGTACTATGAAATAAATGCCTAGGAAGTAAATACATAAATACCGTAAGTGCCAAAGGAACTCGGCATTTTATTTCAGGTTCATACCCAGGCGTAAATATCAAGAATAGTGTGCAAGCTCTTGGCATATATTGAATCATCACAATGTTGTTGGCAATATTTGCATACTTCGATCTTCTAATTGAAATGCAATGGTGAATTTCATAAAGGTTGGCACCGCATAAGAGTTTACCTGAAGTGCTTCAACTACTGCATTTTTATTGCTAGGATGTATTGCCACTTTCGCTGAACTATTACGTTATACTTTTGTGAAATTACTGAGACAAAAATCGTGCATGTAAACTTTCAGAGGCACCTGGCCTTGATCGGCAGGTCATAAGCTCATCCACCCAAATCATTCCACGTTGCCAACTGCAAAGTTTACACTAAGCATGAATGCAAGGGTTACGCACAAAGTGCTTTCGAATGGTCGAACAGCACCTAAGTAAATGCATGCTCTATGCTCTTAGGCAAAAGGTTTTGTTGGGATGTACATATTTAGTGGCAACCATTAAAATAAAACTCGGTTTGACTTTACCTCCTCGGTGAACAATGCCATGCCCTAAGTCCTAATTGTTTTCTATTTAAAGCTTGAAACACGACGGAAAGTGTCGTAACACATCAACGGACATAATTTGATCTTCCTATTAGAAACCAATTTTGTCATTTACTCTTGGATGGATGGCTTGCTATGCTGATATGTTTTCCACGGATTGTTGTGCCATTTGAATATCAGCAATATCACTAAATCATACGAAAGCCTCTTTTTGTGAAGTATTTATGCATATTTTACCCTGGATGGCCTTCATTATGTACGATATTGGATTGATGCTTGTTTGAATGATCTTCAAATTTTTTACAACCTTAAATGAAACCCGAATTCGACTAAATAACGAATCAATGCATAAAAAATTTTTTCTAATTATTACTTTTAGCATGTACCACCCCTTACTGCTAATGCAGCCTGTTGTGTTAAAGTAAAGGCGCAAGAATGTGGTGATAATAGTAAGTGAAACAAATCTCACCGCACATTTAATGGTGTGGCAGCAAATGACCAATCCAAGGCACAACTCTCCCATGTGCAAATGTGTTGGGTTGCTGGGATTGGCTGTAGCACAGATTGGTCGAACGGGCTCCTGACATTTAACTGGTCTGACTAAGCCCTTGCGAAGGTGATAGAGCCCCCAAGTCGCCATAAATGTAGATGAAAATTGTAAATAAATTCCCACAGCCATCTATGTAAACTTGTTTCTTTTGGTATCCCTCTGTCGGATCAGCTCCTGCCTTCAGTCGTTAAACCAAGTGTTGTGAATGGAAATAAAGGCCCAAATATGATGGAATTCCTGGAGCAAAACACATTAATCAACCAGATGGACGGTAATTGCATAGCAGAATAATGCAAAATATGTTTTGTAATGGGATTTACTGCTGTTTTAAAGATGGCTGACGTAAATTAAAAGGAGGAAATGGTTTTCGAAGTGTTTGAGTATTAGCTAATTGGACTAAAATCAGCAGTGCTTCATCACACAACTTCGTGTACCGAAGATGAGCCAGCAGTATGGGAAGTTTTTCATTTGAATAGGGATTAACCGCATGTGTGCAGTAATATGACCCAAACTTCGAAATAGCCGCTTAAGTTACGAACGTTGACGGCATTGTACACTTAAAATGAGGCGTATGACCGATAGCACCAGGATTGCTTCAGTAACGTGAGCTCTTTTACATTATCTTACCAAATTTTGTATTGTAACACAAGAGGATCGTAAATTTGGCTGATGCAGGAATTGCCTGTTTAAATGCATTGTAATTTATGCACTAGCGGAAGTAATTGCTGGAAGAATGTTAGCATTCGGCTCATATCAATTTTCACCAGCAAACCATTTTAGCCTTCGTCTTCTTTATTTAATGATCTTAAATGCATTCTGATAAGGCTCAATTCGAAATGAGGGGAAACAATGTTTTGTCTAAAAGGATGCA